ACTTTCTCGCCGCTCTCTTGCTGCAAGTGTGGTAACGTCCTCAGTGTTGGATTCAGACTCTGGGAAATCACAATTATAGCACAACTATGCCATTTTAACTGCAATGGTTCCATACTATGGAATCCTGGGATTTGTAGTTTGGTGAGACACTAGAGCTCCTACCCAAACTGCTAACCCTAGGATTACATAGGGCAGAATCTTGGCAATTAAAGTGCAGTAACAGTGTGGCATAGTGGTTTGAGTGTTGGGCTAGGACTTTGGAGGCCAGGGTTCATATCCCAGCTAACCCATGGAAACCCACTTGGTGACCTTGGGTAAGTCACACACTCTCAGCCTCAGAGGATGGTAATGGCAACCCCCCTAAAGAAACTTGCCAAGATACCCCCATGATAGGCTTGCTTTAGGGCCACCATAAATCAGAATCAATGTGAAGGAACGCAACAACAGTGCTATAATTCTGTAGTGTGACTGATCCCCTGGGCTCAAATCCCTCACAGCCATGGAAACCCACAGGGTGACCTCAGGCAAGTCACACTTTCTCAGCCTAAGAGGAAGGCAATGGCAAACCTCCCCTTAATAAATCTTGCCAAGAACAGCCTAGGACAGGGTCCCCATAAGACAGAGTTGACTTGAAGGCATGTAACAACACAAACATTTCAATCCTATCTCTTCAGGCCAAGGGATGAGGCAATTTCTAGATTTCTTCTCAGATGGCTCTTAAAAGTACTAGTATTTAGAGGGGAAGATGGGTGGCCTTAGGGTCACCATAAGTTGGAAAAGACTTGAAGACACACAACAACAACAACAACAACAACAACAACAACAGATAGCAAGCTAATAGAGGACTGGAGTTTGATCATTTCTGGGTGAGTAAAGCCAGTGAAAAATACTTGCCAAAGAGGACACTCCTGTTTAAATGTAAAAACTGCTGTGGTTTCCCCCCCTCTCCAAACATTAGCTGCTAGTGTGATGATTTATGGGAAGACACATGTATGCTCTGTACACAGAAGTCCATGTTTCCACAAAATAGGGCCAGTGCAAACTGTTAGGTTTCATGGCAAATGAACCATGAAGGACTTTTCAGAGGCCAGAAAGACACTGCTAGCCTAGTGCCTCCAATCTGCCATGTTTCTCAGAAGGTAGCATTTTCCTCCAGTTATCTCTTCTTGGAGAAAAAATTCCATTGGCACAGAAATCCACTTGTACCAGTTAGTGCAAGGGACTTAAAGGGGCACGGGGGCAGGTGGTGGTGGAAAAACACCCTTAATTGGAACCCTGGATGCCGACAGATGGCATGCATTCATTTTGAAGAGATAAGCAGCCACCCTGCATGAGGGAAAGACTCAAAGCTTGGGAACAACTAGTTAAATTTGATTAGTTATATACTAATTGATTCCCCTCCCTCTACCAGCAGGGATTAATGAGTTCATTTGTTGGTTAAAAGTGTTCCCTATAAGAAACTGGAAATAACTAGTTAAATTTGATTAGTTATTGTGCTCATTCATTTCCTCCTTTCCCCAGTAAGGCTTAACTAACATCATTCACTATTCTTGCAGTGTAGAAGAGGGGAGGAATATGATTTGCAAACTATATGCAGCCTCCCAGGTACATTTTTGAGGTCCCTAAGTATGGTTCATTGAGACCCAGCATGGCATAGTGGTTTGAGTGCTGGACTACAACTCTGGAGACCAGGGTTCGATTCCCAGCTTGGCCAAAGAAACCCACTGGATGATCTTGAGCAAGTTACCCTCTTTCAGCCTCAGGGGAATGCAATGGCAAACCTTCTCTGAACAAATCTTTCCAAGAAGTCAGAAATGACTAATAATGAATAATGGTGGTCTCAAGAGGTGGAGGAGGAAGAGGAAAAGGATCATCTAGTTCAACATTGGCTTGTATTTTAAAAATAAACTTCTTGGTCTCTATATGCCAAACATATTCCCTATCATTGACATTTGCATATGATGCTATTAAGTGAGCAGAAAGACCAAAGATGTAGTTTTGGAAAGGTAATTTATGCATTTGTTGTGTGTCTTCAAGTCATTTCCAATTTACGATGATCCAAAGGTGTTCCTTTCATGGGATTTTATTGGCAAGATTTGTTCTGAGAGCATTTGCCTTTACCTTTGTCTGAGACTGAGAGAGAGTGACTTGTTCAGTGGGTTTCCATGGCCATGCCTCAATTCAAATCCTGGTCTTCAGAGTCATAGTCCAACACTCAAACCACTACACCATGCTGTCTCTCCACTTGAAAACTACAAAAAGACATTGACAAAAAGAAGAAGCAAGCAACAAAACATGTTACTAGACAGCAACACTGACAATATTTATACACTGATGTGGTACGCTTTCTTTTATTTGAATCGTTTGATTTATTGTTATA